AGTCTCAGTTCGCGATTCTAAAAAATGTCTTGGCAGTCAATCAGGTCAGTTCACTACCTCCAGACTGACAGTTTGAACCGCAAAGATGAACTGACAACTGACTGATTGACTGATAGCAACTCTGGTTCTCCAACCATGGGTGCGTGTGCCCAGGGAAGCTGTCGCAAAAGCCTGTGGGTTGATGCAAAAGGGTCTGCAAACCTATCGAGATTGGAAAGTCATCTCGGACCATGCTTTGATGATTGCCCAACAGCATCATACGATTAGTGACGGGTGGTGGGCGATGCATCATAAAAGGTTCCAGGAGCTCGATGCTGTTAACCAACTGGACTTTGACGATGCTTTTGCACAGGTGGAGCTCGTCATGGAGAAGTATCTAGGATTTCAGAAGGAAGTCGCGGTGATGCGCAAACCCGCTCCTGCCAGAAGCGAACGTAGGACCAATGCCACGTTTCCGTCTAGCGCGGTTTCCATTGTCGACACAGCATCGCCTTCAACAAATGATAGCAAATCAGCTTCGTCGAGCGAGAGTCAACGGCCAAGTTCAGGTTCATCGACAAGGGACTGGGCTACCACTGCAGTCCGAGCAGCCTATACCAGTGATAAATCAAGATTTCCGCAATCGGTATCGCGATGCCCAATGACCAGGCAAGCTGCCGCGCCTTCCTCATTATCATCAGCTTCATCGTCACCCAAGTCTCGAGGGGAAGAGACAGAGGGACCGCGATACCCAACGCCCCATCGACTATCATCACCTGTCTCGTCGGTAGCAGGCCCATCGTCACTAAAGTCTTCGATCAAAGATGGTCCGCGGTATCCGAAGATCCAGCAAGCGTCGAAACCTATCGCAGTGTCACCAGCTCCATTCTCACCGAAGTCATCGATGAAAGATGGGAAGCAGTCAATGAAGGAAAGAGCGTCTTTGCCCGACTATAACCGGTCGACCAAGGCCAATTCAAAGACAAGCCAGCCTACAAAGATTTTGCCAAGCTACATGCGCCCTACGAAAGCGACTCGAGGAGCATACACCCCGCCTGTCAAATCTGCCACCAATGCAACGCCGGCTCCTCGATCAAGCCGTCTAGATTTTGCCATTCGTGGCGAGCAGGCAAAGCGATCACCGACTGACACGAGTACACGGCTTGTAGAAATCAAAGCTTCTTCAACACTGCCTGAACGCGCACCATCTGTACTTTCCAAGTCGACAAAGAGAATGAAGCCAAAAGACCTTCCCAAGCTAGACATGATCGATCACTCAGACTCGGTCCATGAACCGTATGTTCTCAGAGGTACTGCCCCGCGTGGCCCCTCTCCGCTGTGGACTAGCAGCCCACCGATTCGCTCCTCGACAGACGCACCGCAGAAGGTCGGCCGTTCGGACCCCCCGAGGTTTCCTCCAACTGATGACAAGGGGGATGCGCATGGTGTCGGTAAGATGGAGCTTGAGGAAGAAACCTTAGCACGCGTCGAGCCGGAAGGCGACGCCAGCATTGAAGTTGCGCTCGTCAGTGGACTGGATCCAAATGAGACGGCAAACAGATTCGACAGCATAAGAGCCAAGATGTTCAAGATGAAGGTGAAACTTCGGGCCATGAATGAAGAGACAAGGGTCGCTGCTTCGAAAGCAGTAGCAGAGGCATGTGTCGATGCAGCGGAAGGACATCCCACGTTGACCGGCGACGAGGAAGTGGAAGAAGACTCTTCTGCTCTATGCTCCACATCTGAGGAGGTGGAGGTAAGACAGGTCGTTGACCAACCTCCAGCAGCAATTGACAAGCAGGCCAAAGCAGAAACGGATGATGCCATGGAGCCTTTGATAAGAATTACTGGGCAGTGGGAATCAATATACGATGATACCGACGATGACGACGATGAAGACGAAGATGTGTGGTACGACGCTTCGGAAGTCCGCGTCGAAGACGAGTATCCGTGATGCGAGCACCTCTCGGCTTGCCGATATCGCGTTTCGGTCACCGATCACGCCCTGGCGTCCCGGCAGTATCAGCCACCGACATCCAAATTACACATATCTGCTTTCTAATATCTAGACTAAATAATAAATCACAAGAAGCGAAATGGTGTCATGTCTCGGAGGTACTGGTAACGCTAGCCGAGCTGTGTTGTTGATGGGCGAGAGCTATATTGATCAACACCAAATTATCCATGTAACCATCATGCGAATCTAAGAAGTGTTCGTCCTCTCATAAACTGCAAGATTGTATTAAAAATCTCAACTTGTTACGCTAAGCATCACAGCTTACAGAAGGTTACTTTCTTAGTCGAATCCCCCATGAGTTTTCAGGACATCCATAGTGTGAGTCCAGATCACCTCGGGCGCTCCCAACTCCTGCAACTCATCCAGTAGCTTATCGGGCTGAAGAAACTCCAATCTATCACTGACAGCAAACAGCGAGCCCTTGCTCCCATGTGCTATAGTCTCAGCCTTCTGCCTGCTATGCTGTAGGGCAACACCAACGCCTCCATATTCTGCGCTCGTAGCCAGATACAGACAACGCTGGCCAGCCTGATCAGGAGTACACTGGAAGATATGCCTAGTGGGCATCGGGAAGTGAGCAGAGTCGGGATCGTACTTGTCGCCCCAGCTCTTTTGGAATAGATTGGTGGAGACCATGCCGGGGTGCGCGTGGATGAAGACAATGTCGCTGTTTTCTTCTTCTTCGGCGATGTGCTTCAACGCGAGGGTAACTGAAGTTGCAGCGTGCTTAGCGTAGGCAGGCACACTGAAGTGTCCAGGTTTCTTGAGCGTCAAATCGTCAAGGTAGAGATCTGTAGACTCTTCTCCAGCAGCCAAGATGTTCAAAACGCGTGCCGGTCTTGTTGCACTGCCTCTACGCAGCTGTGGGAGAAGACGCAGCACGAACACTATATGGCTGTAGTAAGACACCACCTGAGAGGCTTCTAGGCCTTCGAGAGTCTCTGAGATATAAATTAGCCATGTGAGCTAGCTCCCCTGGCGTTCTGTCCTTACCTTTACGTCCAGTGAACGGCAGATAGCCAGATGACAAGAAGAGCAGATCCACGCGATCTTCCTGGGCTGCAATCTGACTAGCGATGCGCTGTGCGTCCACCACTAGCGATAGCTGACCTTCGAAAAAGATGAGAGTTGCTCGAGGGTTAGATCTCGCAAGGTCTTCCAGCAGAACGCGGTGTGAGGCTTTGTTGCGGCCGACAATGTAGATCTTCGTCGGGAACCCTTTGGAGACAAGAGCTTGCAAGGTAGCCTTACCGATGCCGTCGGTAGCTCCTACAAAGACCGCCGTTTTTGGCACGTCCTGTGGCCCGATGAGTGCGTTCGAGGCAAGGATAGGCTCAAGAGATGACATGATGATGATGTACCCGCAATATGTACAAGAAGTGCAGAAGTGTTTGTCAGGACAGAATGTGGGATTGAAGCGCTCTCTCGTATGTCGAGTACGAATCAACTTGCGCCGGTACATCGAACAAAGATTCCAGGCTAGTGGAGGCTAAAGAATTGCCGCATGATTCCGTGGACGAAAGTGGTGGCCGCTCGAAGCCGTACCGGAACGCTTACCAAAATGAACTTCGACAATACTAGAGCATATAGTGGCGGATTAGCAACCAAACCGAGCCGTACGTCAGCGGTGCTGAGCTTTCAGCTTAAGCTCCAGCTTGAATACTAGATAATTGAATGGTATATAAAGATCCATGCGCTTAATTCTGCTGTCCTCAGCACGAACAAATACACTCCTCTATCATTCACAAGCACCATATATTTCTACACCTTACACACAACGAAGTCCACATCCGCCAAGCCAAGATGTCAACCAGATCCGGCTTAATGCATTAAATTACCGTAACCCGCGAGGTCGACGCTCCCATTGGCGAGCTCTGGGGCCTCGTAGCTGGCTTTGGTGCGGAAAAGGCATGGTATCCGGGAGCAAAATCCGTTTCCCTCGCAGGATTTGGTATCGGAAGCATCCGTACCTTCTCCTACGTCTACCCCTCCGGGCCAAAAAAGGGCGAAGAGTATTCTTTCTCAGAGGAGCTTACCAAATGCGATGCTCCAAACTACTCCATGACCTTCCGAGTCCGTAGGCCAGACTATCCCGACATGGTCGCCTTTGGTACGACCGCGCTGACCTCGCTTGGACCCAACAAGACCCGGTTCGACTGGACTGCTGAGGGCTCACCCTTGTCTGAGGATTTGCACGCCGTTCTGAAAGCGGATCTGCAGGAGCGCTTTGATGGTCTTATTGTGGCAATGGCCAACCAGCTCGTCTGGAAACGATGTTCGACGCTTTTCGAGCCGTTCAATACGTTCGAAGGATCGCTGTCATGATATGCCTTCTCAAGGACGGAAGAGATGGGAAAGCACGTGGCAAAGAACACCCCTCAGTTAGCAGCAGTAGCGGCAATTTGCCGTCACCAACATGAAGTGCCCATATCGTTCAATTTCTGATCTTGCTTGAATCAACATGTGTGCGCGCGCCCTAAAATCGCCTTTGAAACAGCCATGTTACATGGTGATCTTCTCATACGATCGCAGGCTCCTGAGACGCTAACTTTACAAGGTTAGCGTTCCGGAGCCCCACCTCTGACCTCGTCAGCAGTTACCACAAGCGGGCAGCGAAGTGAACATTTAGAACGCGTTAGGCTACGTTAGACACAAAGATCAGCGATGACGCACGGCAATCGGGTTACTCGCAACGAAGAGACTTCAAGGTTCGGAGTAGCAGTCAGATCGGGTCTGCAGGACACACGCCCATGTATTGCTGGCAACGTGTTCGAGCGCGCCGCCGTCCTGCACGTGCGCTATACAGCTTTCGATGTTGGTTACCAACTTCAGATTCTGCACGTTACAACACTTCTCTCCAGGACTCTCTTCATCCAAGATTGTCTTATGATTGTATTTGGGATGGTTTTCAGACCTTCGAGTATCAAAATTTAAGTTTACAGGTATCCAGCTACACGTCTGGGTTCTGACGAAGGAAGTCCTCCATGGACGTAGTATTGACACTCAACCTGTGATTCTCAACGTTCTTCAATGAGTAAGTTCCATCCAGCTGGAAAAGCTGATAGAACAAGCCGATGAAACTATAGTAATCGTTGTATGGCTTTTGATCCTTAAGGGAGTAGGCGAGTTCCCTTAGATCGTCCAGTGTACCCTGGTAGTTGTATGCAATCTCAATCCCTCTAACATTCTTGTAGATGCTCACGAGCTCGCGAGGCGAGTATGCGCCGGAGTGTAGCTCCCAGAAGCCGCCGTTGGGAGCGTCGTCACGCTGAATAATCTCGACCGAGAACTCGGCTGCATCGCGCTCAGTAGTGAGATCCCACTTCTCATCGCCTGTCCCCCATATGTCGATAGTATGTTTCTCTGAGTCCCACGGCCCTTTGTAGGCTGGGGAGAAATTGCCATGGCCAGGGACAGAAAAGTAGACCTCAGCGAGGGCGCCTGTCAGTAAATAGATCGGTTTTATCGTTGACGAGAGCTTGGCTTGCTGGTGAAAGGCAATGATAACATCGTAGCTCTGGTGTTGACCGAGCTGCAATTGCCTCCAGTCACAATTCCAGCTAGCTGCCAGAAATCGGGTGATACCGGCTCGCTCAGCGGCTCGAAGTAAAAGTAGCTGAGCATCGAGCTGCATTACCGGAGATCCTGTGTAGGCGCAGATGATAGCGTCGACTCCAGCGCAGGCTTCGTCGAGCGCTGAGATGTCGTAGTAGTTCTTTATCGGGACGAAAGACTCGAGCTTTGATTTCTGGAGGTCGTTGAGTTTGCCTGGAGAGCGGCCGAGGCCTCGTACGTGGTGCCCGCGAGAGGACAGGCTATCCAGCAGATGCAGCCCGAGGTTGCCAGTGATTCCTGGAACGAGTACAAGCATCCTGGCTATAGATTGGTGTATGGCAATCAGTGGAGGATTTAATTCGCAAACGTGAACTTGGAGGAAGAGGTACAATGGCAGTTGTCCTCGACTGGAAGACAGTATCCATACTATAACTAACCGCATGGGTCGACCTCATCACTCACTGCTACTAGATGCTTATTGTACTTAGCTTACCAACCAGCCACTGTTTTCTAGGTATCACGAGCCCTAGGTCCCCTATACCCACGGATCAGCCTAGGTATAAGAAGCTAGCGTTCCGTACGATCTTAACTTCCAGATCTGCAGTGCGTATCTGCCCGGACCGACGCTCTTCGGCGTTGACGCTTTCCAGCTTACCAACAATGTCGCAGTTCTGGCGAAAGACGAGCGCTCGCCATCCGTACCAACAAATCTTATCGACACCAGAAATTCCTGACATGCTCGACCTCATGCCCTGTTCTGCCTCTTCGCAATCCTTGTGTCATATCCACTTTAGACCGACGCATCGTACTGCCTGTCGCTACTCGGTTCTCCTTTAGTTTCTTCTTCTGAAGAACCTGCTTCTGTACACCTATGGTCAACTATGGGCGCGCATCTAAAGATTGCCTGCCATGTAGGAAGAGAAAACTCAGGGTTAGGGAACCCCTTCACATAGGCATCTCAGGTCCTAAGAATTCTGCTGATATCCTAGGTGCGGGTAGTGCGACCTTGTCGCATCGGGGTGCTCACAGTGTATCAGAGCCAAGCTGACCTGTCATGGCTATCGGGACTCGAATGAGATAGTTTTTCGTGACGAGACGCAGAAGGTTACACGAAAAGCCATGGTTCAGCGAATGACAGCGCAACTCATGCCCGGTCCACAATACCATTTGGATGATATTGCACGGAACGCCTTCTTTGTCGCTCTATGTCGGTCGTTACTCGAGGGCTTTCGATTTGCTGGAGTCACTCCTAGCGTCAACCCCGATGGCCAGTCACCTCTGGGCTAGCGTTGACGCCGTCAGTCTAGCTTTCATGGTACTTCAGTCAAGTCGCCCAGATCTGCACCAACATGCCACCCGCTGATGTTTGAATGCCATTCAAAGCCTGAGAGCCGAGCTGAATTCCTCGCAGCTGTTGGCGAAGCACATGGTCAGTAACACGATCCTTAAATCAGTGCTACTTCTAAATCTCTATGAGAAGATGGTCGTGCATCGTAACGTTGAGCGGTTCAGTCAACCAGGCTCATGGTTGAGCCATGTGCCAGGTGCATTGCTTCTGGTTCAGATCCGGCCGACTCACGGTTTCTCCGACCCTGTTACTGTGCAACTCGCTATGAGAACTGCCTTCGCGTTAACGATCAGTTGTGGTGCGGCTGGAATTCATGTCCCAAAGGCGTTGTCAGCACTGCAAAGAGATCTTGACCACTACATTCGGAGCCCAAAGTGGACGTTCATCGACGTCTTGTCAGCAATTATCAATCTCCGTGCTGACATACGTGCTTCACGCCTACGTCCAGATGAGCTCTTTCAACGAGCACAGGAGCTGGACATGCGACTAAGGCTAGGGGAAAGTAATATACCTCACTCCTGGAAACCTCGACGGATCTCCGCTGATAACGCTATGATCCTCAATGGCTATTACGACTTGTATCCACGCCATTACGCGACTCAAGTCTTCAACGCTTTCCGAATCATGCGTCTAGACTTGAATCGCATCATTTGCGAACTGGATATGGACTCCTCGGCGTCACAAACGATTCTCGAGATTACCCAGGATATCTGTGCGTCTGTGCCACAGTTTATATTCTCAACGACTAAGGCTGAAAGTACACTGCCTCTGTCACCACTACAGATTCTACAGTGCAACGAATCATTGACGCCACTCTACGTTGCCGCTCAAATGACGAGTGAACCGCGAATCCGAGCGTGGATTCTGCAGACGCTCGGCCACATGGGCGACAATGGGGTAAAGCTGGCCACAGATGTTATCCACGTCCTACTTTCTGCACCAAAAACAGACTATTGGAGGGTCTTTACAATGGTTGGGAGCTGTGGAATCACGGCTTAAGAGCCGCGGTTCTTGCTTTGCTTATCTTGTAGAGCGTTTTTGGGCGACACTAGGATAAAGGATCGAATATATTCCGTAGCAGATCAGTAGTCTTTCTTCGAATCTAGATTGTTCTTTCTTTCGGCTTCGGGCATCATGCAAGTTCATTCTCATCATCCGCAAGCCTCTGCTTGATTCACGCTGCTTTGTGGTTGAGGCCATGCCGCAGGTAGATCGAATGTGGGGAAATTACGGAAAGCTAGCTTTGAGCGCTCTAGCGCCAACATCGTGTCGCCCTACCGGTCACTTGCCCTATTGGCTATGCACAAAGCGCATCCACCGTGCAATCTTGACACTAACACAACGTTGAGCAACAACAGGCGAGAATAATATTAAAACTTTGTTTTCAACTTGATCTATAAGCTAAATGCTGAATCTCGGTAGAAACAATTCTTGACGCCGTGATATTAGATAATCTCGAAGTTGCTAGAGACTAAGTTAGCAATTTTCTGAGTATATAAATTCTAGTTCAACGCGGCTTTGGATAACATATTCTATTCAAGCAGCTACAAAGACAATCAACGCGCTGTTGAAGTAAGAGTAACTACTATTGAACTACATTACTACTATTGCCTCGAGCATCGCTATCCGCGCGGCCTACAGCTCTACGACTAGCTCATTAATCACGTTCACGATACCGCTATGCCTGACATCACTACCGACGTTACTCGGATCATCGATGCGCCTATCGGGCAGGTTTGGGGAATTGTCACCTCTTTCGGGGCTCAAATTCTTTGGTTCCCTAAATGCGTCTCTTCTTCTCTTGAGGGTTATGGTCCGGGATCCGTGCGCACCATCCTGTGGGAGCCGAACCAATGGGTGAATGAGGTCCGCGAGGTGATGCTGTTCTGCGACCCGGTCAAACATCACCTTTGATTCCAGGTTCACAATAAAGACGTCGGTGAAACTGCGGGGGGCATCTTCTCAAACATTGTCCTAGAGGACATCGATGGCAAATCGACTAAGTTTAGATGGTACGGGGAGAGTACTCCACCGGAGGACCCAGTGTTGAGAGCCAGCTTGCTCACATATGTGGAAAACATGTACGCTGAATGCGCGGAAGCGATTGGCCATAAGCTATCACGCAAATAAAGAATTGTAGAGAGTACACCATATGCTAGAATCAATGCATTCCTATCTCGTGGCCTATCACAAGCTTGCATGCGTCTAATGGCTTATTGTGGTGCTAAATAGGTTCTGTAGGCATATAGTGATAATCATATACACCCAAGCATTTTCACATAGGAATTCTTCGTAGTGCCCGACAAGGTTCGATTGCTGAAATGACCAAGCTCATCGCTCCATATGCCTCTCCAAAAGCGCCACCCCAGGGGTGAATCACCTCAACACCAGCTCTCATCCACGCGCCAACAGCTACCGGAAAGACGCCGGACTCTGCACACCATCAGCGAACTCAGTGCCACGGAGGCTCCGACACCTAACTTCAGCTCTTTCATCGGGGGGTTGCAAAGGCAGCCGCTGGACCAGACATATCACTCGAAAGCGATGCCAGATGTTGCGAAGGCTAGCAACAGGCGAAGCTTACCCCAACATGTTCCGAACCCACAATACCCGCAAGTAAAGGCCAATCATAAGGCGCCTCTCGCCTCTGCTCAACACACGTATCAAACTCCAGTCTATCGATCTCTTCACGATAGCAACATGGGGAATGATGAGCTACGTTGGACGGTCAAACGAGCAAAAGCCAGATCTCAGCGCAAAAGTGCAGCCACAGTACAAGAATATACTCGACAGCTGTTGCAGAACTTGATCCAAGATAGCAGCTATCCAGCCATACCGCGAAAGGTGGTGGACTCTACCTCTCGATCAAGTCTCCGATCATGCTCCAGTCACCAGCACCTGCTCATCGACAGCCACTCTCTGAGCGAATTGTCCTCTTCATCGTTATCCAGCGGTAACCTCGATCGTCGACCTAACCTAGGAGCATTAGGTAGCTATCCTGAAGCTTGGTCGTATAAGCCCCGATCCGCTGAGAGGTCTATCTCAGATATCACTGAACATCCTACTCTTCGCAATATCGCCATACGGAGGTCAAAGTCTGGCTCTTCGTCTAATTCATCTTCCATACCAACTGCACCACCACCAATACCTGTCGCGTTACTAGCATCGATGCAGCCGTATTCCCCAACACCTCCTCAACATCTTGGAAGTGGCGCGCGATCGATTACGACAAATCTGATACGGCCGATCTCGACTACGCGCATATCACTGCCTTCCACACTCATCGACCAGGCTGGATTATCGCAGCAGGATCAGAGAAAGACTTTTTCTCGCGCAGCTCAGCAACAACATGAAAGCGATGTACAGAGAGCGCGTTTGGAATCGCTAGCTGCACTTACCGCTGTGCACCCAGGGTCGTACCGTCATCGACATGCCCCGCCTCTGAACCTCAACGAGCTGCGCCAACCGAGTGTATTTCCGTCGCAACATCATCGTGCGTCGCTGCAGCATTGTTTACACTCGAATAGACACTTCAGACCGCCGTCTCAATATGATCCACTGCTATCTTCCACATTCAACGAGACTGCCCCTCAGCACCACATTTCGCACTCCTCTGAACACCGCACAGTCCCCAGACGTGAAAGCCTCACGCAGTGGAACTCTGAAAGAGAAGAGGCAAGGACCGTCCCTGATAGCATGCGTCGGGCGGATATGAAAGCGGAAGTGCGACGTGCGGACGAGGTGGAGTCGGACAGCGAGCAAGAGCTTATGAAAATTGGCAAGAAAGGTGGCGAGAAAGGCGTGCAAAATGAAAGAGGTTGCCTTGCTGGAGTGTTGCGCTTGGTTCGAGTGAGGCTGTGATGCCAATCATTGGTCGATTGTTGGAGGCGCTTGAAGGCGCAACAGGTTGACGAATCGATTGGAGCTTGAGCTTCTTTCATCCAGTACAATTGCTACATTTCCAGGGA